AGAGAGCGGTCAGTACTATCTAAAGACATTGATAAACCACAGAGTGGTCAGTACTATCTAAAGGCCTTGATAAACCAGAGAGTGGTCAGTACTATCTACAGACATTGATAAACCAGAGAGTGGTCAGTACTATCTACAGGCATTGATAAATCAGAGAGTGGTCAGTACTATCTACATGCATTGATAAACCAGAGAGTGGTCAGTACTATCTACTGACATTGATAAACCAGAGAGTGGTCAGTATTATCTAAAGGCCTTGATAAATCAGAGAGTGGTCAGCACTATCTTAAGACATTGATAAACCAGAGTGGTTTGGACTATCTAAAGGCCTTGATCAACCAGAGAGTGTTCAGTGCTATCTAAAGGCATTGATAAACCACAGAATGGTCAGGACTATCTACAGGCCTTGATAACCAGAGAGTGGTCAGTACTATCTAAAGGCTTGATAAACCAGAGAGTGGTCAGTACTATCTAAAGGCCCTGATAAACCAGAGAGTGGTCAGTACTATCTAAAGATATTGATCAAAACCACAGTAGTCTAATGTGATATTTGAGAATATTTTAAGTTAAGAAACCCTGTCCAATTGTGCAATTCCAGTTCATCCACGAATTCAAACCATAATTCCTAGTTGCTAGTCTGGAGAGTGATTGTAGTATTATCTATATAACCCATCATTACGCAGACAATACCTCGCCTTCGCAAATGAAAACATCACATGGCGTTCGAGGAGTCATACATCTATAAAAAAGACAAGATAATGATGATACGACTGAAATTCACTAATATGCTTCCAGTAATTTGTTCTATTACCACTCGGTATATAGTACATTACTCAGTTCCAAATCATAATTGGATCTCTCTGTACTCTGAATGTGATTTGATCGTCTATCTACACTCATTTGTGGGTGAATAAGGTCCTGCGTGATAACAATGGTGACACTGAGGACATTCTGGCCGTCTGCATCTCTGATCAGGAAACAAAACACTTTATTATCCCAAATATCACCACCAATAAATGCTCTACTGCATTTGAATGTTGTCGCAAGTATTGCAATCAACGTGGTCCAAACTTTCAACACATCGCAGTCAATTAGACGCTCGTCATCTTCGGTCTGTCGGCTAATTTTAGCAACCAAGAAAAGCAAGTGATTTCAATTAGGAATGCAAAAACGTATATAAGACGAAGAATACAAAATGGCGAACGCCCGCTGCTGATATCAGTAACGAGATGGCCGAGAACTAATTATGGTGTCTGACAATAGAAAAGGTTTCCGTTCAAATGCAGATAGACATTAAACAATGCGATGCCTTACCTTCTATTATAAAAACGTTGTAAGCTATTTGATATATTTTTATCATTATTTCATGTTATCATATTTCATTTTTTATTCACATCTGCGTCATCGATACCATGTTTTCTTCTTTTTTCTGACTTTAATTAGATACCAATGGTGTCTGCTGTCTTTCAATCAGTAACAAAGACATGGGTCACGTTCTCAAATGAGAACACTGTTAACAACAACGAAACACACAAGGTCCCCACCCACGCCGAAAATTGCTCCGGTGCGAAAAAAATCATCGTAACATTTTTTTAAAACATAAACGGAAAAGCACAAAAAAATAGTGACAATATCAAGATATTGATGGAAAAAGATATATATCTAATATACATGATGAATTACTTACGTATTTTTCATAAAGCAGACCTGTACAATTATCCTAAACTGTACACCAGCGATAAAGTAAGAACCCAATAAATTAACTTGAACCATTTTAATGAAACCCCGTTTGCATGCCGAGTCACGTTCTAGGATGTTATCATGTCATGATATGTGGGGCGGAATGCTTCTTCCATTAAGTGATTGTAAAATCTTTATATAGATAGAATTATCGTTTTTTTTTAAATTTTGGGTTCTTTATTGATAAGAGCAAATTATTTTTAGAACGGCTCTAACTTCAATCAACGAATCCATTCTGCGAGCTACTTTTTCAACGATTTTGGTTTGGCGGTATTTTGTGGCTACACATGCTTATACGACATGTTTGGTCTCGTTATGCCGAGGCCAGACTGTTAACTGATCTTCAGCAAGTGCCCCTCTCATAGACATTGTTTGTTCTGATGTGTGGACATTAGCGATATTTCGTGTCTAGGGAACCACTCTCTCCTTGGGACTAAAACAAGTTGTTTTCCCGTTGGAATCATGAGGAAGCAAAACAGTGTTGAAGCAAGGAAAGAATATCTCTTAGTCGCTTATTACGATGACGGAGAAAAGTAGGTTAAATTTTTCTCTTTATCCGCATTTGCCTATTTTCATTTAAAACAATAAAAAATAAATTGTAATGAATTAAAATTTCGTGATCTAAATATATCTCCGAGAACCTTTCACGTGATTTAGGTTTAAAATTTGTAATTGTAGATTTATCTATGGATCTCCTTAGTATAAGTGAACGACATTTGATAATATTTAATGCTTATGAACGCGTGCATGCTACAAAACCAATTAACATGTGATGCTTACCGTTTAATGCAATCTAAACAAATCCGATCGTTGCCAATACCATTGGATAACCTACCGGGTCGACTTCAGTATCGAGATGACAATAGGTTTTTTGAGTATTCTATATCATGGATTAAATTTTCATGTCTGATTTTTTTTTTTTTTTTTTTATCAAATTTTCGCTATCACGTTAGCTCACTTCGAAATATAAAGAAATATTCCCGTGAAAATCATTGGCTAACGGTACATCCCTTATCATTCGGTGTGAATAACAGGAAAACCCGTCAAGCCTTTCCTATATACTGTAATATATTGACAACATCTATCGCGGGATCTTACAACCGATCATAATACTAATGATAGTCAATCTGTTAATGGTTTAGGGCACTGTGGTTGAGTGTTACCTTACAAAAGATACCATGTCGAAACATGACTAATGCTATGAGGGACAAAAGAATTTAGATTCCGTTTCCGAAACATATGTCTGATAGACAGATAACAAACTCGCTGCTTTCAATACCTAAGGTCGAAAGTTCGGAGGCATGTTGTTTTTTGTGTTGTTTGTTTGTCTGTTGTCAACTTTAACCATGCCTATACCTTTTGCACCTTAAGATCTAGGGCTGTCATATTTGGAATGTGTGTTCCCTATGACAAGACAGTTCCGCTGATACCTTGACTGTGACTTTTGAGCTACATTTGAAAACAAATTGATATTGGCTTTTTATCTAAAACTATCTAATCATTACCACAATGAAGACATAAGTTTTTCAAAGTGTGCATGCAATAAGCACATGCCTTACACAGTGCAGTTATAATGACCCATTTCAGAATTTTGTTGCAACCTAGCACATAGTGTTTCATGGACACATATTGTTCGATATTCAAGGGTTAGTTCCAAATATTTTCGTGCAAAATGTCGACATCTGACAGATAAACTGGTTGATAACGATTTAACAGTCGCGTATGTGATCTCATTAGGAAATATCATGTTTCCTTGTGCTATAAATTTGATGTGTTTGATGCATTTAAGTATCATTTGATCAAATTCAGGAACGTTACGTTCCTAATGCGAATTAATCAAGTTAAACATGGCATGAAAGGATTCTTCTCCGAAGCTGACGACGCTTACTGTTCAGGAACACTTGTTTTTTCTCCTAGTTCATTTCAGGGGTCTGAGTTTAAAGTGCAAAACTTTCCTTTTTTCATATTTTGCCGTAGGTTTTTATCGAATTTGATGATGTTGAAAAGTTTTGTTAACATATCAGTATTTTATTCCTTTGTTATCATGTTTCTTTAAGGGGTTGTTTTATTATTTAACAGTGTGTATATTATTGATTGATTAATTGATTGATTTGATAGGCGGATGGTTGATAGATGGGTTGCATAATCTTAGAGGGCTATCGTCACAGACAAATTCATCAGAGTTAAGACCATGCAAATAAAAAAAAATTCTCATCAAAACCGAAACCAAAAGGAGCAATACCAAGATAGCGTAAAGGATTGGTTAATGATGTTTTAGTTATGTGTTAAATCCATCGGAGAGTCTTCCATGATCACCATCTTAATAATGCTGACACAAAGTGTATATCAAACCTTTAGAAAATGGTCAGGAATTACTTCTGACAGATGTGTCTAGACGCTTGGAACTTTACAATCAGACACAATGTATAAATGACTATTTCGACACCTTGTTTTCTGTAGGACTACCGAAATAATATACTCTCAGGTTTCCATTGAAGCAAGAAGAATTAAGTCGGAAGAGCTCAACTATTTTAGGCGGGATTTTTATAGATCGAATTTCATAGTGATTAATCAAAAACGACATATGAGACAACTGTAACGAAACGTCGTAAGAAGCTTTATATACAATACATTTGGGTTTCTTTGAACATGCTTTTTAAATCAATGCTTCATATACAAGACAAAACGGTGTGAAGACTTAGCAATCGATCTTACTGTTAAAGCAGTGAGCGTTATACATCATGTTGAAACATTCTTACAAGTGTTTAAATTTCCGCTGTTTCTCTTTAATCATTAAACTTTTGCCGTAGCTGAGATGCACATAATTTTCTGCTTGCGTAAACATTTTCCATGTGTCTTTACAATGGCTGTCATTTATATGAAAATATATGTCTGAAACACGGTATTCTATCGATAATAGAATTTTTATGACGGTTCGAAATTGAGGTATACATAGCAATCTAGAAGCTGAACATTAATATTGATAGTGCAAGATTGATGCAAAGGGATATCAGATATCAATTTTATATTATATTATTTAAGTAAAAAATGAGGTTCTGTGAAAACGTGTTTCTGTGGCATCGATAAAGCACAGACGTCATTCACTACATATTTACCTTATTAAGCGTTAGAAATTATTAATCGAAACAGCTGGATAAATGATATGATATTTACAAACATATTTCTTTGTTATTTCAGATACGCCGAAGGCTAGGTTATTGAAAATTCAAACTGCGCAGGCGCGACGACTCCCTGAGAAAATGTCGGAGGAAGAGGAAACTGTATCCAAGGAACAGCTCTATACAGCTATTGGGATGTTGGCGGTGTTTTCCGTAATCGGTGTCATTGGCAACGCTCTTGTTCTGTATGTGTTTTTCAACTTTAAGCAAAAGCTTACATCAACTATCTTCATTCTAACCTTGGCTGGAACCGACTTCATAACTTGCTTAATTACCATACCTTACACCATTGTCGTAGAGGTTCTTGATTACTCATTATATTACAACATCGTTTGCCAAATTTACCAGTTTTTGATTACGACAACTATCCCGTTTTCGGCTTTTGTGATGGTAGCCATTGCTGTAGACAGATATCTATGCATCTGCCACCCGTTTCGACACGCGATGACAATTCGACGTGCGCAGTACATCGTGGCTGTCCTTTGCGCATTTGCAGTTATGCTTGGAATATTGTGTTGCTTGAACTATGGTGTTGTGGATTTGTATGTTAACACCCCTGTCTCCAATTCCTCATCTCGGAATGGAACAACACTGTACAACACAACCATGCTCTCGAGCAGTTTCTCGCCTGGGAACTTAGGAAACGCCACCAACTTCACATATGACCAACCAGTTTCAACGGAACGTGTGTTGGCGCACGCTGGTGTGTGTATGCCTATCAGCATTGACAATCAATTTTTCCATGTCTACCAAAAGATATATTCAAGTTTCTTTGCAATTTGTGCAGTCATCGTGATGGTCCTGTACGCTATAATCTATCGATCGGTGTTAGCGAGGCGACGACAGAGGTTAAAGATCGTCACTAACAAATGCTGCGGGTTCTGGACGGCTATTCCGAACGAAACAGAGAGCACAGAGATATCTACACTAACAAACGTTTCCGAAATTGGTGATGTAGAAAAACATGACAAATCTGTACAAAAGAATGGCACGAATTCTTCAACACCCCAACCGGGCGAGAAAGACGTTATAATTCGCCCAAGCAATGTGTCGAGAGCTAAACTTGAAAAAATGAAAATAGCTAATATAAAAACTGCATTTATGCTTTCAATTGTAACTCTCGTATTTATAGTAGCTTTCTTGCCTTCGTGGCTTGTGGCTTTGCGAGTTTTCAAAATGAATGTTGTTGTTTTCTACATGTATTTCTCATACAACGTGGCGAATCCAGTTATCTATGCTTTCATGAACAACACGTTTAAGGCTCAGTTGAAGGAGTTGTTCAAGTGCAAATAGGTCAACGGAAATAACGCGAAAAACACAAGAGATACAAATTACTGGAATTGCCCGCCATTAGTGTCATGTAACCTGTGTACATATTTTAGTTACTCGAATCGAGATGGTTTTATTTAAAGAAATATAACATTTGAAATATATAGAAGTTCAGGTACGTGTTGTGGTACGGTGAGAAGATATTGCTTAAAACGTTACTCTACTCTAACTCATCGCTACAAGCTTTCAGACTGACTCATGTGTGAGAAGAAACTGCTGAATATCAACAATGATACCTAAATTCAATTAGATTAGATCTATATATTTTTCATTTAATTTTCCTACAGGGTGTTACAGTGATGAAATGGATTCTGCTTAATCTTCATTTTTATGAAACTCTATCATTTGTACAAACACGATATAATCAAATCATTTATCTTCTGAAGAAAATATGTAAATGGTTTCTTTTTTGTCGGTAATATGTTTATTCTTTCGGGGTATTAACTCAAGCTGTACGTTTTGGAAAATTAATAAGCATCTGACAAGCAGATCAAAGATTGTCCGTGTGAGAGGCTTGTGTTTAAGGAAATCTAATCAATTTGATCTAAAAAATTATACAATATTTCCAGTATGAATATTTGTTCACATTTTTATAATAGTTGTAAAGCATCATTAGAATAGAAGTTCTCATAACAAGACCTGCAGAAGATTAGAGTGTGACGTTTCCATGACTACACGGTCACCTTCATCATATAACACAACCAGTAGAAGATTAGAGTGTGACGTTTCGATGATACAAAGTCACCTTGACAAATGAACAGTATGTAGCAAACTATCGGTGACGTACGTAGTGTGACGAGATGGTAAGGATTCGACCAACATTTTCGGCTGTACTATAATCCTATGTACACTAAGGTCGAAAATAGTGTGATGAGATGGTAACGCATCGACCAATAGTGTGACGAGACGGTAACGAATCGATCAACTCTTTCCGACTGTACTTTGTTCCTATGTACTCTAAGGTCGATTTGACTACAAATATTCTAAAATAGTGAAGAAACATCCATATTAAAAATTACCAATCATTTTTTATGATAAATTAGAATAATAAACAATATATGACCACATTCTCTAGATTTCTTTAAACAAAAGCCTCTCACACGGAAACATTTGATCTGATTGTCAGCTGTTTATTTTTCAATAATGTCCTGTGGACGATAATCCACTGAAGACGTAATTTATCATACATGGTTATGATCATTCTCAACTATTTGATTCTTTTCCGATTTTAATCAACCATGTAAGTCAAATTAAAAATCATTACAACAATCTGTCTAACCATGTCTATCCACAGCACATTCTTTCACCTCCTGTAGGTGGAGATAGGGCGCTATCGGGGGCGATCATTAAGCTGTCAAACATGAGGCTTGCCGAGTTTTTAACAACTTAACAATCTCTCCGTGGGTTGAGATCTCCTTGCGTCACCCTAAAGAGTTGAATGATTGTTTTTCTCTTACCCTGTTTTCCTTGTCCGAGTACAAGAAGAAGCGTATTATGTGTCACCAAAAACACTTGTGTGTAAACAAAGACACGTGTTTGAACAATGATGATTCCCGGGCTTCAGACGCTTCACGCATCGTGATTTACACGAAATATAATTCTAGTGTACATGCCAGTTAAACGTCAAATACTATCATAGTCTTGATATTGGGAATTTTATACATAATTTCAATAACAAATTGTGGATGATGCCACAGTATTTTCAAGTTTGAGGATAACACAATATTTCAGAAACAGGCGAAATAGTGTTTCTGTGTGATCGCATAAAAGTGGTTCAACTTCCGGGTCATATCTGTGATGTCACTTTAGTAGTTTTCAGAACGTGCAAAGAGCACGTGTAACTTGTCTCCTCCTTAGGGTGAGACAAGGAAATCTCACAGGGTTAGAATGTCACTTTCGTAGTTTTCAGAACGTGCAAAGAGCACGTGTAACTTGTCTCCTCCTTAGGGTGAGACAAGGAAATCTCACAGGGTTAGAATAAAACAACTCCATAAAACGTGTTTAAATCATCGATATTTGACGCTTCTAAGTTCTCGCTATGTAATTCTCAATGTACAACCAAACAAATGGCGCAGTCGGAAACAGTCTGGCATACGTTTGACAATTTCATTGTGCTTAACCGTATATTTTATCATGGAATATTTTTCATGAACCATTTTGTAGTGTTACATATTCCAAGCCGAAAATCCATGTTCTTCATATGCGACTCACTAAATTCACTATATTTATTTTTCAAGTGATTAATTGTCAATCATTTGTTTGTTCATTGCAATAGGAAGGATCTTCTCTGTGAGTGCGATGCATGCAGAATTCTTTTGAAGTTTTTTCCCCAAAAGAATATATGTAAAATCGATTTCGAAAGAACAGTAGTGCAGCAAAAAATAAGAATTAGATCCTGAATGGTAGTGATCACTATATTTTGTACTTAATTCTTGTAGTATTTGATAGGAAACCCTTTCTTACGAGAACAAATGCGTGTTCTCTACTCATAAGCAGTAGTTGATCTAGAGATAGGATTGTCACTTGTAAGAGTTCTCACAGGAAACTTAAACTTAATCTCTCCCATAGCGAGCGTTTTTCGAAAACATGTAGAGAGAGTGTTAGCTTGCCTGCCATGCATGATCATCAATCGTAGAGAAAATTGTTCCTTGTGGTAAATAGTTCGGGATGTTTAAAACCACTGCTGATTTAAGTAAGTGCATGCAGTTCTTCTTATGGTTTCAGATTGTTTGTGGTTACGATTTTGTTGATGTTAATATAGTATGTGCTTTTACGACTTTTTTTCTTATCGTTTTCCTACAGTATTTTAACCTTAATCTAAGTCGACAATATTGCTATTTTGTGTATATCGTTATGCTAAGCAGGTAATTTGCAAAACTTGATTGTACATACTTTTGAACCATTTTTGACAAAGGGGTTTATACGTCCCTTCATAGCGACATGTTAATTTTAATTGATGTTTAGTTTTATTTTACAGGATGGGCAAGATGGAGAATAGTAAGTAAAGTTAAGTTTATTACAAGTTTAGAGTTATTTAACATCCTCTACACCCGATTCAATAAAAACCATACATTACATAAATCAAATGTGACAACAGTTCCAGTTTCTATTCAATTTCGGACTTATAGAAGCTCTTGATCTTCATAATGCTTCTCTATAATTTTTTTTTAATTTTTTGACTTATCTTATCTTTTTATCGGAAGATTTAACGTTGGTGCTAAAATTTCTTGTTCTGGAAGGTTGCTCCATATTTTAACAACGTGTAGAGTAACAGTAATGTGAGCAATCGTGACATCTACTTTTTCTCATTCTTTGACCTGAAACTTTTTTTAAAGAAAATAATTTAACGCTATGAGAAGACTTCATTTCCTACATTTAAAGTCATTGCTTAGTTTTACATAAGTTAGAAATGGACTGTTGACATTGAAATTCTATATAAACAACACGAAAACTGAAACCAAATTTGCGACATTGAAATGTTATACATATATAAGAGCCAAACATTTTGGAAAACCTTGATTCTAAACTATCAAAGAGGACACAAATGTATTTGTAAAATTAAATATTGATCTTTTCGATTACTATTTTGAATTTTAAAAAAATGGTCCTCGTTAACTTTAATATTAAATAAATTAGTAATGACGAACAACCATCTAACTGAAATCTTGCAACGTCTCTAATCTACAAATTACCAAAATTTTGACCTATCGATATTACCGATACTGACGAAGCTATGGGATAGTGTTTACCATTCAGAATTTAAGTGTGTTCTAATTAAATGCATCATGTTTCATCTTTGTTTACTATTTTTATCATGAAGTGTCAATCTTCATGTAACCATTTGCTTCAATGTACTAGAACAGTGCAGCTCTGAAAGAGGAATAATCTCTTAGGGATTATTTCAATACTTTTGACGCTAAAACAGTTTAGCTTGAATCTATCATTCATATTCATATTTCGATAACTTCACTCAGAAAAAGATACATGTAGGTGGTTTATATACATTAACATGGATTTTGCCAGAAACGTTTCAGTATACACCATCACTAAATCATTCTTCCTAACAAATTTTCTTCGGAACAGTAGACGTCAGCTAGTTCAGATCTTTTGTTTATTGACACCACTGTCGACTTATTACTAGACTCCTTCATTTCAACAAAATACGATAGGTATTGATATCATAGATATCAATGGTTGTCGTTTAGTATTTGTGAGTTGAGGTTTGTAAAGTTTCAGATTGTAACTCAGAATAATTTGGTTTTGAATATACTTTAAATTTTCATTTTTGATCTTAATCCACGAGTTCTGCCGTTCACAAAATGTTAGAAAGTGCTGTATATTAACGAAATTTCGCATTTAAAAATTATATATTTACTAAGTTATTCCATTGAACAAAGACAACTGTAACATCTCTAACAATAGACTTTTGTTGTGATCCTGTTTAACGTTGACACTTCTTTAGTCAAGAGCACATGCACGATATATATAGAGACTATATTATAATCAAACTTTTTACAAACTAGTTGTCTTACATCAGTGACATTTCAACGTTTTGTTTTCTAATCTTTAAATGAATATGCAATTCTATATTTCTTAAGAGCCCAAGATGTACACAAATATAATCTGTAAATTTAAGTATAGAATATTTGAATAATGTGTGCATGTTTGTTATATAGGTGTTATATATGTATATGAAAAGTATAAACTAAATATTAAATAGGTTCCGGTTAGGTTGCTAAGATTGGAACTGATTTATTAAAACTGTTATCTTAACGCGGCTTTTTATTTACGACGTAGCATTATAAATTATACTTGATACAAATTTGTGAAAAAAAATGAGAGCGAGAAAGGGAGAGAGAGAGAGAGAGAGAGAGAGAGAGAGAGAGAGAGAGAGAGAGAGAGAGAGAGAGAGAGAGAGAGAGAGAGAGAGAGAGAGAGAGAGAGAGAGAGAGAGAGAGAGAGAG